GAACCGATCGTGTGGTGAGGGATGTCCAAATCCTTTGTCACAATCGACGGTTGCGATTGGTCCATTCTTTCTTGATGATTCGATATTTGACTCTCTTGATATATATATTTACGGGGCTATATACATATCAGGTTATATAGAAAATGAACGACGATCGAATGAATTATACGGCATGGATTAGGAGTGAAGGTTCGGCAAGCTATCACCTATATATTCCAATTCAAGAAAAGGGATGAAGCAGCCATGTTTGATAATATATACTAAATAAAACAACAAGTTGATAAACGAGGCAAGTTGTTAACTTATGCAGAATTTGCCGAAATGGGTTGACTTTCGGGATCACAAACTATATATATATATATATATATATATATATATATATATATATATATATATATATATATATATATATATATATATATATATATATATATAGCGAATGGCAAAAGCCCATTACATGGGACTTAAATGCATTTTGGTCCACAAAAAAAATTGTCTCTCAATTAAACCCATCCCATGTCTTTAGTCTAAAATACCCTCTCTATAATATAATTTTTATCAATTTCATCCATTATGCTCTAACTTCATTAAAATTACACATTGACCCTGGATTTAAAACAATATATCACATTAACCCCCAAAAAATTTTTTTTTTCAGAAAATTATTTTGTTTCTGAAAACTTTTTTTTTCCGGCCAGATTCCGGCGTTGGCTTTTTTTTTTTTTTTTATTTTTTTTTGAAATTTTTTTTTTTCTGAATTTTTTTTCCGGCCGGTCAACCACCGCTCTCCGGCGTTGACTTTTTTTTTTTTGAATTTTCTTTTTCTTAAAAAAAATATTTTAATTAATATTACTGTCTTGGCTTCTAAATTACAGTCTCAGACAGTATATTACTGTTTGGGACAGTAATATTATGAATATTATTTTCCCGAACAGTAATATTTTTAATATTATTGTCTAAGACACTTAAATTACTGTTGTAGACAGTAATTTAGCAGCCAATGCAGTAATATTAATTAAAATAATTTTTTGTAAGAAAAAAAATTAAAAAAAAAAAGTCAATTAACAGTTAAATTACTGTCTTCGACAGTTAAAAAACTGCTGGAGACAGTAACTTATTAACGAATACAGTAATATTAATTAAAAATATTTTTTTAAAGAATAAAAAAGTCAATTAACAGTTAAATTATTGTATCCGACAGTAAAATAACTGCAGGAGACAGTAATTTAGCAACGAGTACAGTAATATTAATTAAAATATTTTTAAAAAAAATCAATTAACAGTTAAATTACTCTCTACGACAGTTAAATAACCGGTGGAGACAGTAATTTAGTAGCAAAGACAGTAATATTAATTAAAATATTTTTGAAGAAAAAAAAGGTCAATTAATTGTTAAATTACTGTCTCCGACATTTAAATAACTGCCGGAGATAATAATTTAGCAGCCAAGACAGTAATATTAAGTAAAATATTATTTTTAAGAAAAAACAAAATTATAAAAAAAAAAAATTAGTCAACGCCGGAGACGGTCAATGGCAATTGACCGGCCGGAAAAAAAATTCGGGGAAAAAAAGTTTTTAAAAAAAAAAGAAAAAAAAAGTCAATGCCAGAGACCGGCGGTCTCCGGTGGTGGCGGGTCAAAATTGGGGTCAAAATTAAAATTAGGGTTAAAATTGGGTAATTGATGAAATTGGGCTAAATTGAGATGTAAATCATGAAATTGGAATTGAAATGAATTTCAATGAATTGGGAGTAATTTTGGTATATATAAATGAATTTTCCTTATTTGCAAATAAGGTTGAATGGGCTGAATTTATTTGAAAGACAAAAAAATTGGATGTCCCTCTTTTAATTAAGTGCATTTGTCATTGGCCTATTTGCCAATTTAACATATATATATATATATATATATATATTCATTCTATTTTGTTGGGACGTCAATTTTAGCAATAAAATGCTTAGATACGTTACTCGAAAATATCAACTGACGTATCTCATTACATATTTTTCAATAATGATTATATACATATCACAAGTATGTATACAGTATATATATATACGTGTGTGTGTGTGTGCGCGCGCAAAATGAGGTGTCCGATTCTCCAGTGTCTTCAACATCCGAGCAGTGACTCTTGCTTTCTACCTGCAATGCATACAAACACACATCCTAAAATATCAGATTCAGACCATTATTTTATTCAAATAATTTATCAACACTCACACACACACACTCATGTGACTCAGAGTTATAAAATATGTATATTGTAGTTGTAGAATATGTAATGTTAATATATATTCATTTGTTTAATGACCACGTACAGTTGAATTTTTTTTCTCTAATTAAGTGTGTGTCATTTGTCAATGAGATTTTTAACTTAGGTCCTTTTAATTTTTCTTGACACAGATATCTCATGTTTAATAATTTCATTAATTATAATAATTAGTGAATTCTAGCCGGCAAATAAATACTAATATTAATTTTTTAATCAGTTAAGTTCCACGGTTATTAATCAATTAATTATCGTCTGATAAAGTCTCGTCCAATTTCCATAGGTAGTTGTGCAACATGCATCGAGAGAAGTACCAGCAGATATATACATATATATATATATATATATATATATATATATACACACACAGTGGCGAATCCATGATTTTTGCCAAAGGTGTTCGAAATTAATTATAGTAAAAAATATAATGGTTGGGTAAAAGTTTACGGGGGTTCGGGGGCAGCGCCCCCGATTTTTTTAATACTATACACATTAAATAATAAAAATATGTAATATTTTCAAATTTAAAGGGACTATTTTACAAAATTTGGGCTAATTTATGAAATATTTAGACATAAAATTGGTGAAAATATTAAATGAGTGGTAAACATATTAAAGTTGCAAGTGACAAAATGTGTATTTCATTAGCATATTCTGAATTTTCAAAATATAAAAAAATACTCACAGAGGTAAATTTAGAAAACAATTGAAATAATATATATATATATATATATATATATATATATATATATATATATATATATATATATATATATATATATATATATATATATATATATATATATATATATATAGATAATATAAAATATTAAAGGAATTGTAAATAAATTAGAGTTGCAAATAGCAAAATATATGTTTTATTAGGAGATTTAGATTTTTTGAAATATAAAAAAATACCCTGATGCCAAATAAATAGGAGGATACCTGTCACAAGAAGGTCTCGAACTTTGGACCTCCTTGGAATTGAAGGAAGAACTCTACCAATTCAGCTACAGCTTTACATGTTGAATATACAGATTTTAAGTTATATAAAGGTACATATATAGGGAATATTTTTTTTTTAAATCAAGGGCACACCCTTGGACCACACTAGATACGCCACTGCACACACACACATATAAACAAAACACCCTCGAGCGCACCATGCAAACCCCACGTGACCAAATGCGAGGTAACCCAATAGAACGAGCTCTACCACGTGACACATGTTATATATACACAGAGACTCAACTCCCAAAACCTCTGTGCCCTTTTATTTATTTTTTAATTTTTATTTTATTTTAGACACATATTATATATATATTGCACACAACAAACAACAACAATGTAACAAAAAGATAAACCACCCGGCCCCCATGTGACTGAGATCGAAAGCTGATCTGAAGGGCGTTTTTCTCTGTTGTTTTCCTCTGTAACAATTATACAATCAAAACTCTGGTGATATAATATATATACAAGTGGCATGCATGCATGCAGCCACTCACGTGTACTACGTTGTGCTGTTGGTTCTATTACTCACTGCCTAAACCCTAATTAATCTCCCTATTTTGTGTTTTGTTCATGGAGGATCTGTAAACTCGTGTCCTTTTTTTCTTTCTGGACCCATATTGTTTCTTTTACTGATAAAAAAATAAAAATAAATAAAAAAGAAAGAAAAAAGACAAAATGAGATAGGAGATAGGGTTGGTCCCACAAATAATGAAATAATATTAAAAAAAAAAAACCAAAAAAGTTAGAAGATTATGAGTTATAATCGGACAACGAAACAGTGAATAAGGGCACTTATCCTCTGCCCATCTTGTTCATGTGTCGGGCCGAACTCTTAATGAGATTTGAAATAAGAGTAAATTATGATTACCTACCCTCAGTTTTGGTGTAATTACAGATAAACTCCCTTTATTTTGGAAATTTATGGATACCTCTCTTGAGGTTTGATATTAATTGGCTAACGCAACATTTAACTCATTTGACAATTGCTAATTTTGAAAAAAAAACTACTTTTACGATTGGCCAATTATTGAGTAAATTGAATTTTTGATATTTTAAGTGTAACTTTCGGAAGCAGCAGAGTTTGGAATTTCCATTTTTTGGTCACTATAATATATAATACATTATAATATTTATATTATATGTGTAATATTCGGGGAATTTTTTTCAGAATTTTCGAAAATTAAAATTGGATTGGAAATCGGAATTAAATATACATCAAATTCCATTCATCCAAAGCGCTGGAATTAACAAATTCAAATCATTCGGCTTTTCATGAGGTTCTACTACTACAGTTGATCAAGTTTATGATTATATTATCTCATTGGTGATAAGGTTCTGGAGTTGGAACTCAATCTGCTTCACTAATTTTACTTTTAATGCCAATAAATACTAAAAATAAATACCAAAAAATTAAAGAAATAAACAGTTGAATTATGTATTTTCAAGTAAATTAAATTACATTTTTTTTAATAATTGGGTCGTGTCAGGTTTGATTTGATTACAATGACCCTAGCTCGTTTGTCCCTATCTTCTGCGTTCAAAATAAAACTGAGGCAATTATAAAACCAACTTTTTTTATTATACCACATGATCGAGGTGAAATTTATTGAGTAATGTCCAAGCGTAAATATATACATTTATGCGCATTTAACGTATATATTATCTGATATATTTCACTCGATGTAACATTATAGTTAAATAATTTTGATCGTATGTTTACGTCGTTAAATGTGTCATTCGAAATCCCCACCCCACCCTATTTTTGGACCTGGTTTAAAAAACGTAAAAGAAATTAAATGAATTAAAGGTTTGTGTAGACTCAGTTTATATAGGTTTGTTTGATATGCCAATTATTAATCGTTGATCTGCACACAAACACACACACTCATGTGTATGTGTGTTTAGTGGAAAGTTATTTCACCACATCAACAATTAATATATAATTACCCAGTGTATTTCATGAGGTATAGCATGTCAAAAACGGTTTATATATATGTGAATTTGCAATCCCACAGCACAACAACAAAACATTGATGCATGTGTGGAGAATCATATTCCTTTTCTAATTGGCTATAGTATTATATATTAATATTCCTAGTATTTTTGTCGTAATTTAAGGTCATGAATAGCCTAATTAATAAGCATCTCTGCTGCACTAATTAGTAGCAGAACCAAATACTTAAACACAGAAGAGATCGAAGCTCGAACAATCCTTTCGGCCAATGAAACCCTAATTAACACACGTTCCTTAACTGCACTAATAACACGATCTCCTCATCTTTCGATTTGTTCGACCCTATACCCGGTGATAAATACCGGGTGGGTCTTCTGCTGCCACGTGTATCTTTTTTGTATTTCATAATAATATATTCCCCGCTAGGATTTACCTTTAGGAGTTTTAGAAAAAAAAAATTAAAAAAAGACACGTGGCAGCAGAAGACCCACCCGGTGTTTATCACCGGGTGTAGGGTCGAAGGAACCCCATCTTTCCGTAATACAAACTCTAGTTAATTATATTATTCTGAAACTGACCTCGTTTTTAGCCATATTGAACCTTCGAAAGTCCAATAATACAATTGAGTTTCATTAAATTATTTAATTTTATCTTATCTTAGCAACCAAACGAGACCGCGCTTAATTATTTGAAAATACAAATCATTGAAGCTTTTGGGCTACTCTTTGTAGATTAACGCAAACTTAAAGTATTAGCTGTTCACAGCGATGAACAAGGTTTGCAGAAATGGCGGCATAGCGCTCGAAATAGGCATCAAGCTGGAATAGAAACGGTAGTTCCCTCGCCATTGTACCGTAAAACGTACATAACACAATACGATAGAAAATAAAATAAATAAATAAATTGACAATAATTTTTTGTCACTATATATATATATATATATATATATATATATATATATATATATATATAGCCATATTATTGTCGTGTTAGTTGGTATTAATTATTATTGGTCTATATATACTTATAGCTATAGTTAAATTGCTGTTCGACGTGACAAAAGGGGCTACTCATTCTCAGTATGTAAATAAAAAATGTGATGCATGTGAAATAGTGTGTGTATGTATGATTTTCGATTAAATAAATTAAATAATTGGTGAGTACATTTGACATGAGCATGACTCAGTAAAATTTGAATTCTTCGATCATTAGATCGGTGGTACACCAAGTTCTACGTATCCTATATAAATTAACCCAAGCGAGGGAATATATCATAAAATAGAAGAAATGACACCTGTGTAGGTTGTCGAAGGAGCCGTATAATTTCTTATTTAATTAATTAATTTAAATTTCGTCCTCGATAGTATAAGAAGAAGTTACACACAAATTAAAGCCAGATGTCTCTCCATAGTTTCCAACGCCATGCATCATAAGCATTTAGCATAAAGATCTCCTCTCTATATAAACCCCATCAGCTAGCCCGCGCTTAACAAATTACACACAACTTCTCTCGATCTCTAGCTATATATATATATACATCTCTTTCTCTCTCTAAACTTAAGTACATATACCAGAAGTAGTAATAATAAAGATGGTGGTTTTATCTCTGCCAGTTCTTGATAACGGCCTACCCCACATCATCAAAACAAGCAAGCCCACATCAAACACTTTCACCGGGATTCCGGTTGTTGACCTTTCGAACCTCGCAAACGCTAAAACTCTTATAGTCAACGCCTGCAAAGAATTCGGTTTCTTCAAAGTGGTCAACCATGGCGTCCCCATGAATTTGTTGACCGAACTAGAAGCCGAAGCTGTTAGGTTTTTCGAGTCACCCCAACACCAAAAGGACAAATCGGGCCCCCCCAACCCTTTCGGCTACGGCAACAAGAAAATCGGGCCCAACGGCGATGTGGGCTGGGTCGAATATCTTCTCTTCTGCACAAACCCTCATAACCCAAACGCCGCCGCCGTTCCAGGACTCCAACAAACTTTACGGTAACTACTTAATTAATTTAGAGGAATTATATTTATATATAAAAATACTTGTAATTAAAAATGACGTCATTTTTGATTTTTTTTTTTTTTGCAGCAATCTTGTGAACGAGTATGTATCGGCTGTAAGAAACATGGCATGCGAAGTACTTGAAATGATTGCGGAAGAATTGCAGCTTGCGGAGAGTGATGCTTTGAGTAAAATGATCAGAGATGAAAAAAGTGATTCTTGTTTCAGGCTTAACCATTACCCGCCATGCCCGGACCTCGGAGAATTGAGTGGCCGCCGGAGTTTGGTTGGATTTGGAGAACACACAGACCCACAGATTATGTCTGTTTTAAGGTCAAACAACACATCCGGTCTGCAAATCTGCCTCAAAGACGGCGCGTGGGTTTCCGTACCATCTGATCCCGAATCGTTCTTCCTCAATGTCGGTGATTCTTTGCAGGTATAATATGTATAATTAATTTGGTAGTACAGTTAAACCTCTATAAATTAATACTGTCGGGACTAGAGAAATTCTATCAAGTTAGTGAATTATATTAGATTATCGAGTTAATTATTTAACGCGTTCTCACCGAGTCGGGACTGAGAGAAACTATTATGCATGTAAGCGAAGTTATTAATTTATTGAGTATTAATTGATCGAGGTTCTACTGTACGTACTTTTGTCAGTATAGACGATCATTATATATATTGATTATATATATGTGTATTTGTGCATGAATGAATGAATTAATTAGGTAATGACAAATGGGAGGTTTAGGAGTGTGAAGCACAGAGTGTTGGCGGCAGATAATATGAAATCGAGAGTGTCGATGATTTACTTCGGAGGGCCGCCTTTGACGGAAAGGATAACGCCGTTGTCGGAAATAATGGAAGAAGGTGAAGAAAGTTTGTACAAGGAGTTCACATGGTCGGAATACAAGAAGTCAGCTTACAAGACTAAGTTAGGTGATGACAGGCTTGAGTTTTTTCTAAAGTCTGCTTCTTCTGCCTAATCATGTATTAACTAATGGTCAAGAGTTGACCCCCTTAGCTTTTAGCTCTAGCTCTAGCTAGACATATGAATAGGGTTCGTTTTTTTTTTTTTTAGAGAAATTTATTTTTATGTTTTTATTTATGACGTCACCTAACTTTGGGTTTTGTGTTTATCATGAGTTGTTGTAACGACTAGGACCGTGTTGGTATTAATGCAAATGTCATGGTTGTATGTCATCTCTGTCTGAAATTAAATGTGGCCGTTATCTGGTTCGTTGGGGGGTTTTGTGCTGCCTTGGTCCTTCGCCGGGGTTTCACTTATTAATTACATCAACAATCTAACTAATTCATGAATTTTTATGTTGCAATTTTTTTTTTAAAAAATCATGAAAATTGTATTTTTCATTCAATAAAAAAAAAGAGAGAAAAATAAAACCCTTTTTCAAATGGATCTATATTACAATATACTCCATTTGTTCCATAATATCTGTCTCTTTTGAGAAATTTTGTTGTTCCATATTATTTGTCATTTTACAATTTCAATACTGCATTAATTGCTTATTTTTCAATTTTACCCTTATTAACTTTATATCACTCTTCTTGCATTAATTACTAAACAAGAGTATTTTGGTCCATCAATATCAATTTTCCTAAAATCAAGACATATTTATTAATATTCTTAAGATTTGTGCCAAGGTGAAAAACGACACCTATTTAGAAACGGATGGATTATATCTTATTAATTAATATATCACAACACACTATTATTATTATGGGCCAACATATCACTATCCACCCATGTAGCTAGTCAATGGGCTTTAGCCGATGAGTCCGCATCAAGTCCCAAATAGCCAATTGGAATTCAATTCACACCATTCACATCATAATCATTTTTTTTTTACTAACTAATGATTTTATTAGTAAGACGTGAATTAACATGTATTTTGAAGGATAAAATAGTCTTTAACTTGTCTAGTCATCCCCTATTAAATTAATTTGAGAGGTGCTACTAATTTAATGAAATAATAACATTTATCAGCAAACTTTGCTTTTAGTAGCAAATTTAAGAAAAAAAATGTGAATCTTATCAGTCGAATGTGTATACTAGCTAGCACCAACTAATTATTCGGTAAAACATTATAGCGGTGACCAAACGAGCGATAAACCCAGCAATCAGCATTAATTTGATGTCGTGAGTATATTTTCGCTAACAGCCAGCTTTTATATTATATGTTACTATTAAAATAAAGGGTAAATTTCACTTTACCCCCTCGTACTCTGCCTGAGAGTTACTTTACCCCCTCGTACTCTCAATTTTATCGATTTACCTCCTTGTACTTGTACAATTTCCCAATACATCCCTTTTCTTCAATTTTTGTCAATTTTGACTCTAACGCCGTTTGGTCAACTCTGTAAATTACAAAATTGCCACTGCCTATAACGCGTCGTTTCTCCTCCGTCAATATTGTCATTTCTTCTTCTCCCACCACTTCCCCTTCCAAGATATCCCCAAATTGAACCCCTAACTTAGTAAAAATCAAGACCAAAAAATTGATCGATTCCACCCAGTGCAAAGAAAAACATATATGAATGTGTGAAACTTTCTCTTTTCTAATTTCGAGAGTCAAAATAAAAAAATTCAATATTTACGTCAATATTTTGACTCTTGACCAAATGGCGTCAGAGTCAAAATCGAAAAAAGTTGACGAAGAGGGTTGTATTGGGAAATTGTACAAGTACAAGGGGGTAAATCGACGAAATTAAGAGTACGAGGGGGTAAAGTGGTTCTTGGGCAGAGTACAAGGGGGTAAAGTGGAATTTACCCTAAAATAAAATATTACAAAAACAAAAATGACACCATCATATATAGTATATCCCTAGCTGAAGTAATAGTTGGACTTGGGGCCTTCCTTTCAATTCTGTGATTATTGATCATACTGCACATAGATTCGATATGTAGAAGAGTAACACTGGATGTGCTCCACACGAACAATATAATGCAAAATCGAAATAATTTAAATTAGACATCTCAATAATCACTTCATGTCCATATATACCCACTTAATATTAGTGGTCTAAAAAAATTGATCTGACTTTCGATATGACCATTTTGGCCCGTATACGTACGAGTATTGTTTCTGGAACCTAGTTTCGCTGAATTTTACCGATAATATATAACCTTAGATCTGCACACAGTTACAGTTACACGTGTGTGAGAATATGGTTACGCTATACTTGTAACTTTAATTTTTTATTTAAAATTTTAATTATTTTTATGAAAATGCTAAATTTGATTTGATCTATCTACTTTCACCACTAAATATATAGTAAAAAAAAACTATTGTGTGGTTGTCAAAAAATTAAATAATTCAGAATCAAATTAATTATAAGAAAGTTAGAAAGAGTGGTATGAACAAATTAAATGGGTGATTACCGACATGAAAACAGGGAATAAGGACTGGCCACAATTACAAATAAATATAGTAAAAAAAATTCCCACGTGATTTATTGAAACTTATGGCCCCATTAATGTCAGCTCAATTGGGATTTGGGACTGATAAAATGTCTGGCCAGATCGAGATAATTTCCCATATTATTTTTAACTTCTCTTTTATAGTAAAATAAATAAAATTACAACTTGAAAGCTGGCTATATATAGAAAGAGATACTGAGAAAACTTGAGGTTTGGTGGAAAAAGAAAACCGCACACAAGTTACAAAATTTATTTTAATTGAAAAAAAAATAAAAATAATAATAATAATAATAATAATAATAATAATAATAATAATAATAATAATAATAATAATAATAATGTTTAACTGAAACTTTGAACAGTTGAACTTCCTCCTAGTACTGTACGAGGATAATTTGGGAACTAATAAGAGATAAATAATATTTTTAATAATGGGAGTAGCGTCTGGTTTGATTTGACCCAAGGGCCAAAGATGAACTCATTTGGAGCAATTACCATATATATTTGGTTGTTGCTATAGTAAAATAAAAAAGGAGACAATAATAATAATATATTATTTTATCGATGAAAAGAAACTGATAGTAACCCTAACCCGTCTTTTTCTGCACTCCCCTTTAATGGGTGTCATTCATCTTCCGTATAGCCCGCCCGTTTCTGTAACTAAGAATCCTATTCGGGCCCCCATTTTATTCACCATCAAGATCCATTCTGTTGATGTGAATGACCCGACCCACAAACTTTTCTTCTGTTTTTATTTGGTTTCTTCTCTTTTAACTTTGATATATAGAACTATGCTGCACGGACACTTCTAAAAGGTGAAGAGTCCCCGTATCCGATACCTGGACACTCGGACACTTCCGGACACTTCTCGGACACCCGTGTCGGGTCGTGTCGTAATTTCGCTAAAAGTAGGACACCCGTATCGGGCAGTGTCCACAATTTTAAGAAAGTTAAGACACTTTTCTTACGTTGTAAGAGAGAGCCCTAATTAAAAAAAATGCGCATTTTCTTCTGTAATACACATTTCCTCTGTTTTCTTTGTGAGTCCACCCAAAACTCCAAAAGTCTAGCATGCGACGGCGATCAAGAACACGAGCAACAAGGGCGAGTGGTTCTCTTATGCGATGACGACTTATACATATTTTTTACAATTTATAAATGTACCCCTATATTTTTATTATTTATAAATATACCCCTATATTTTTTATATTTACGCGTATCCCCCACGTGTCCGTATCCTAATTTTTTAGAAATGCCGTATCACTGTGTCCGTATCCGCGTATCGCCGTGTCCACGTATCCGTGTCCGTGCACCATAGATATAGAAATGGCATTCCCCCTTGAATCTTGATATACTATAAAATTTTGCTCAAACTTACATCCAATCTAGCTAGTTACGTCTCTCTCTCTCTCTCTCTCTCTCTCTCTCTCTCTCTCTCTCTCTCTCTCTCTCTCCCCCCCCCCCCCTTATAACAATTAATATCACAGAAATATAATGTTGGTTTCACGTCATCCAGTTCTTGAAAATCTAGGCCACATCAAAACATGCAAACCCACATCGTCGTCGTTGAATAACATTTTCACCGGGAATATTCCCGTTGTAGACCTTTCAGACCACACGGTCGCTAAAACCCTAATAGTTAATGCCTGCAAAGAATTCGGTTTCTTCAAAGTGATCAACCACGGCATTTCCATGGATTTGTCGAACAAATTAGAAGCCGAATCCGTCAAGTTTTTCAAATTACCCAAACAAGAAAAGGAAAAATCGGGCCCTCCTAACCCTTTCGGCTACGGTAACAGGAATATCGGGCCCAGCGGTGATACGGGCTTGGTAGAATATCTTCTCATGTGCGCCAACCCTTGCAATAATCAACTTCATTCACGGAATAGCGCAAATGCCATTGTCGTTCCAGGAATTCAAGAATCTTTACAGTTAGTTATTAGAAATAAGAATTTATAGATTTGACCAGAGAGCTACTGGTAATTAATTAATTGATACAGTCTGTATAATTAATGCTTCATATATTATTGCAGGAGCGTGGTGAATGAGTACGTGTTAGCAGTCAGAAACGTGGCATGCGAAGTTTTAGAAATGATAGCCGAAGAATTACATCTTCAGGCACGGGATACTTTGAGTAGTCTGATCAGAGATGAAAAAAGTGATTCTTGTTTCAGGCTTAACTACTATCCACCATGCCCGGGTCTTCGAGCATTGAGTAATGCTCAAAGTTTGATAGGTTTTGGAGAACACACGGACCCACAAATTATATCTGTTTTAAGGTCAAACGAAGTATCAGGCTTTCAAATTTGTCTGAAAGACGGAGCATGGGTCTCAATACCACCTGATCCCACATCGTTTTTCCTCAATGTTGGTGATTCTTTGCAGGTACATAACGTAAAAGTGTTGAATCTTATTTATACATCTCCTTTGCCTTGTAATTCCGGTAATAATTTGTTGCTAATTACATAGATTTGTATGTTGGTGCAGGTAATGACAAATGGAAGGTTCAAGAGTGTAAGGCACAGAGTGTTGGCCGCAGATACTTTGAAATCGAGGGTGTCGATGATCTACTTTGGAGGGCCGCCTTTGAATGAAAAGATAACACCCTTAAGTTCAGTAATGGAAGAAGGTGAAGAAAGTTTGTACAAGGAATACACATGGTCTGACTACAAGAACTCTGCTTATAAGACAAAATTAGGTGACGATAGGCTGACGAATTTTCAGAAACCTTTCGCCCAATAGTCATTTAGCGAGGTCGTGAGATTTCCGTCACTATTTTTGAGAATTATTGTATAATTAATTGCCATGTGTTCATCGGCATTAATAAAGATCGTACAAATCTTAACAAATGTCACATTCGTTTGAAAATATTACTGTCAAATTTATACAGATAGGACAGTGAAATCCAAATGTATTCACCAGAAATCGTGCACCAAACACAAGTCTCGATAACATCCCATTTAGACAAGCAAAATGAAGACCGTACAATTTTTTTGAAGCACAACACTCATCTAACACAAAAAATGCACCCGGAGAAAACCCTCAGAAACCACCTAGCCCAGATTCAACTTACGCTAATCTCACCCTGTAATAAGTTCACAATTTTTTACCGATAACTCTGCAACGGGTCAGCTGCTTTGCCAGATCTCGCATCAGTCCATGCTTTAGCAATAGTTCTCTTCATCTCCTCATCACCTTCCTCGTACATATTCTGCAAATCAATTATGGATATATCCATAACGGCACAAAGAAACAGAGAATAGAAAACAAAACAATAGAGATAACTGTATGTACCTTCATCAAGCCCATTATCCCAGCCATTGGATCCTTCTCTTTATCTAGATTTGGCTTCAACTGCAGCATATCGTGCGTTGAAGTATTAATGTCTAATACATGGTAAACCATATTTAATTTCAGTTGCAGTCTGATGAGGAAATTACCTTATCTTCTTTGAAGTGCAAATCCAGCCAGTTACCTTTGGATGCCTTTGACAGGATGACAACCACCCTCTTTGGCTTCACAATCAACTTACATTTCTCGGGTTCAATCTCTTTGTTCAACTTTGGTACAGCACAACGATAGTTCTTTCCTTGTACATCATTGAATTTAATGTCGAAAGCCGTCCGCTTAAAGTCAGCTTCAATCTTCTCTTGGTCAACCCCCTCCAACGATATATAAATCTGTGTTTTATTTTTTTTTAATAAAAGACACTCGAGACATTTTAGATACTGAACAAGATGATAGAAATCAATTTATCGAATAGATTAGAGAAGTCGATTAACGGACATGCTTACCTTCAATTTATCATTATCCTGATCCCAGCTGAAGGAGCTAAGTGTAACATAATTTAACAACGGATTTGATGCCGCCTTTGGCGGGATTGATACTGCTGGAGTTGTTGTTTGCAGAGATGGTGCAGGAGCAGCTTCATTTGATATCTGAAACATAAATAACCAATTGAGCAAAATAATAAAGTCATTGCTAAAGTCTCGACGGAAATACTCTGTATACTCTTCTCTCGATTTGGAGACACAAACCTAGAAGTATCTTGCCATGATCCTAGGACAAAAACTGGTGACCGAGGCAGTGGTTACGCATACAATCTTAAAATAAAACAAATTTATCCGACTAGATTAGATGTGAAAGGAATTTGCCCCTAAAATCCCTGTGAATTATCGATTTTTTTTTTTAATAAAACAATTGAACTTCCAATCCGAAAGATTTGTCTTTCGGCATAAGGGCATCCAATAAACTTCCAACTACAGCTCCAACAAGTTCACTATTACTTCTTTTTTGTAGACAGCAAGAAACAGAAACCAATGCAGTTAATTGTTGACAGCAATAATCCAAACAATAACTGGAGTGAACACTGTTCTGTTCTACGTATAAACATCATAACAAAATTCCAGAGCAAAATTAAAAGACAAGTTTTCATCTTTTTTTTCTTTTTTAATTCATTTATCCAGATACGACTAATTTTCACCACATCGAGTTGTATAATAATATCCAAGCTGAGGTAAAAAGTTCTACACACACACACACACACACACACACACACACACACACACACACACACACACACACACACACACGTATCGATGAACATAGAAAAAATAGAAATGCTAGGGTAAAATAGGGACCTTCTCCAATTTGGCAATCTCGGAGGAAATCAGAGAAAGAACGCGCGGCCTCTTCGCGATGCTGTGAAGGTGCTTCAATTCATCCAAATCCAGCGCCAAATCTTCCTTGCCCGCCATTTTTACACTCTTATTTCAATGGAATATTAAATCTGAAGAAAGTATAATCACCCACAGGAACGTGTTGCTTTAATTTTTATAAAGGATTCGAAAATGCTAGAACCCTCAAGATAGATAGGGTTTCTAATTTTGACTAAGTGAATTAGGGAAGCCGTTTGTTGAGTGAAGAAGATTCTAGACTTCCGTTGTCACTTGTTACAGTACACGTGGATTAATCGTAAATTAATATTGGAGCCTTGGCCCAATTCAAATCCAGAATTTGGGCCTCAAATATTAATTTATGTTAAAACTATAATTAAAAGTTTATTTTCCAGTTGGGCCCAACATTAACGATCCTCTGTAAACTATAATTAAAATAACGTAAGATATAAACCACACTAGATTTGTTTTCGACAAAACTTTTGTTTTAACTTTTAATCCATCACTTTCGTAATAAAATTTAAGTTCAATCTTCTTCATTTGCTAAATATACGGTTGCGGATATTTGTTGCTCAATTAGCTAGTTATGTCATCTGTGTATGTTCGTAGGTGCGAAAGCTTTTAGTTTTCGTATTAATGGTGAACGACCTAGCTACTTTTGGCATCCCGACAAAGGTTACATCACTTCTCATTAATCATATTTACTTGCATGACCAACCAAAAACAGAAATTGAATTAAACCACCAGTCCTCGTATATATATGTACATGAGTATGTAGATATATATAGTTGGAATCAGTAGCTAATCCATCATTTTCTTAATTAAATTCAATCTTTCATTTACTAAATATCTGATGTTTACATATTTGTTGCTCGAGAATCGAGATCGATCTCTGATCAAGACTACATACATGTTCATTAATCATGCATGCGCGCGCGCACACACATATATATATATATATATACACTAATTTATGTCATGCATGTATATATAATCGACTAATGATAAATGCTCACGGAAGAACTATATGAATGATTTGCCGTCTTCAACATATCTTAATGACTGTAAACTTATACTTTAATTTTATTAAGGCATAATGTGTACAAGGACTAAGTAGCAAATCTACACGAAATTACCAACTCCGACTCTCACACAAAGAAATTTGATTTGATTTTTTTTTGTTTCTATATAATTCGATATCGTTTGGTTGTTAATATAGGATTAGCCAATATATAAGCATAATTAATGTAATGAAAATTTAATTATTTTATCGGATCACGATACGTTCAATAATTTTTTTTCCTAAATTGCAAAATAAATCAAGATAAAACACGATAACATAATATTTATGTTCGACTATTTAATGTACCAAAACATCAAACAAAATCCAATTATTTAGTTAATTATGGCTAATCTGGTGAACCAAACGAGTCCATAATATTATTTCAATCTTGGGTTCAAGAGTACCGGCCTTGTGTTAGCAATATTAAAATTTGTAGTGAAAAGGCGGTGGGGGGTGGGAGTAGATGGGGGTCAATTTAGGTGCATTTCTGACTTTAAAGGATTTTATGTTCTCACTTAATTTCCACACACTGCATTAATTATATTTATTTAAGACGACTCAGTTGAATCAAATTAGCTAATTACTAATTCTTGTGTTTGTCCACTGATATCAAAAGAGAAAAAGAAAATATAATAAATAAATAAATTCTAGTTTGTACACGATACTTAATATTTTGTTGCCCCTATTGCGGTCATTTTTAACGTGTGACTCATTTTCTATTGCTCCGTTTTCAGTTTATGTGGGCGTAGGCTTCAATAAGAAAGACTAACCACCAAATATCATTATTATTTATTTCCGTTATTCAAATCTAAAGTTACTTTAAGAATATTGGGAATTAAATTAAATACATATACATATTATTAGATTTAGTAGTTAATTATTGGACAAAAAATAAAGTACGTAGTAATGACATGGTTTTGATTTATTTGGAGGCCGCCATTTAATATAAGAAGAATGCATGCTTAAAGATGATGAAAAATATAACAAATGGTGTTGAACTTGAGGACCAAAAATAACTTTAACTCTGGGGTCAAACTGATACGCGTAAAACCTACGTATGAAAAACCGCAAGTGTACAGTATCGCGTTTTGTAGAATAGTGAATTCCAGATATCGATCCACAGGGAATTAAGTTCCTAAATCTACCAAGTACCGTAATTATACTATCCTAAACTTTATCTAGACGGGAGAAAAAGATGGGAGATGACATGAAGCCAAAAGGAAACAAAAATAATAAAAACAACGGTCCGCCAGTATACGCGAGGAATTCCGACGTGTGATGGCTTCTAGGGTAAAATCCACCAGTGTATTATCGATAAAGATCTACAAATCCGAATCTATTGTCAATTCTATGTTCGCTAACCCAGACACTAAAGTACCCTAACCCCCGTCTCCAGTGTAGTTAGAGTCTACCCACAGGTCCGACGTCTCCGTTCAGAACCTGATATTAAGAGAGCATTTAGGTCAAGTCCTTAAGGGCTACCCGAGGTGCATCACGTCTCCGTTTCCACAACCCGAGCTATGCTTTCCTAAAATCAAACGAGAAATCCTTTCTCGAGTTCATTCCCATTTAGAATCAATTCAATTGTTGGCCAAACAATCGAAAGCATTTAATACAAGAAAACATAAACATAATCAAAGAACGACAAATAGATCACAGATCTGGAAATCAAAATCAATATATACAAGGTTTCATTTCCCTAGAAGAAAATGCTCAGTTCATTACAAACATAGCATCAAAATGAAGAACACGAGAAATTATAAACTAAACGTAAAGAAAAGCTTATGAAAAACCCGAGTCGAAACCCTCGTCGAAGCTTCTCGCGAAGAACTGGCGAGAACCGAAGAGAAAACCGAAGACGAAGTCGAGAGATAATCGAGATATTGAAAAATGAAAAAGAGACCTTCTATTTATAGTGAAAAATCAAAGAAAAATATCTAGTCTCGATTTCTGTGCCCAGATCGCGATCTGGGCTTCTTGGATCGCGATCTGGCAACCTCGAAAACTGCCCACCGCCTTCCCAGATCGCGATCCAGGAAGTGCGGATCGCGATCTGCCCCAACTTTTCGCTGCTACTGGAATTTGCCACCAGATCGCGATCCGGTGATGCTGGATCGCGATCTGGCCTCTGCATCAACTTCAAACACTGTTTTGACCCATTTTCAGCCCGAATTCGACAATTGTGCATTTCACAAAAGTTGTAGCCCTTGAAGTTAGCTTTCTAAATCCACTTGAATCAGCTCAATCGGAGGTCGCATGAGAAAGTTATGCTTTAAATACCAAACACTGCCACAATCTGCGAGAATGCACTTTTGCACGTGTTTGGTTTGGTTCTCGGCTTCGCTTCCAAAATCGTCTCGAATCGGCAAAAATAGCTTATCTTTACCTAAAATATAAATAAAACAAAAACAACATAATATATACAAATAAAGCCGAAAACTCGTACGAATGAAGACCAAAACACGAAGATTAGATAAGTAAAAGTTGTGCAAAACGAACACTTATCACACCCTCAAACTTAGATCTTTACTCGTCCCGAGTAAATCAAAACAAAACTATGACCCAAAAACAAAAACGACAAACGAAAGAAAAACTAAACCTAGGCCACTAACGTAGGGAATCACGATTGCATTTAGCGCATGCAACAAGCCTTTGAACCCCTGGGTACCCCCAAAGGACGAGTTGTGTCTCGTGAGGGTTTTCAGACAACACACCCACAAAGTTGCCGGATTGGTCAAAGCATTGCAATTAATTCCAAAGATGAAACGAGTTAGATAACCTAAAATCTTAGAATGGCATACGGCTTAAGGTATTCGACTTTCTTACCGACGCAATTAGTTGTTTCTACACCAAAATGAAAGATAGACTCAAGAATCCGTAATTAAACAACAAACACAATTATCGAGGGTTTTGAGTAGAAATGTGGGTGAAAAGTAAGTTTTGATTCAGAAATTCAAAAACTCGAGTTTGGCATAAGTAGGTCTATTTATTCAAATAAAAGAAATGACAACAACAATATTTTTGGTGATTTTCATCACAACTTTTTCCTTTTTTCATTTTTTTTTACGGGTATAATCGTGACTCGTGCAAGGCTCGATACCACTGTGTTATCTCCCTGACCCATTTATCGAACTTTAGTCCAAGAAACCCCCAAGCTCGACAGCTCGAGAGACTTAGGCGACGAGGTGCACCCAACGGGTTAAGCTCGAGTCAGAAAGGCGGGGAAATCAGAGCGTGAATCACAACAATACCACAAATTATTATTTTTATCTGTTTTTTTTTTTTTTTTTTTTTTTTTTTTTTTTTTAACATCGAACATAAAATAAAAACGTAAAGACCATTGATAGAACTTTTAGCCAACAACTGGAAATCGTGAACACATAATTCAATTCTAACTCGCCCCCCAAACCTCAGGCTATTATACCCCTCAGAAAAGTGCGCTCAAGCTTAATCGGAAAGGATTCGAAAGGCTATCCACACAAGTTGCAAAAACGCAGTCGGAAGATACATCTATAATTAGCCGGTTATCCATAATTTCAATTTTAAAATCAACTAGCCCATCTACTAATTCATTAATTGCTTTGCTTCAATAGAATCCGGAAATGCAACTTACACTCGATCCTAAATGAGATGCATGTGACAAACATAACACAATTACGGAAATCGAAATACATAAACGAGACTAAATTATATGATATGCATGCAAAAGACCAAATCAAAATAAGCTAAACTCCCCCCAAACTTAAATCATGCATTGCCCTCAATGCGAAAATAAAAGAAAGGAGAAAGAAATACGCCCTGAACAGTCGTGCCGCAGATTGATCAGTGTTCTACGGTTGCGAAAGTGTTCTTTGGTTGCATGGGGTGCCGTCAATTTTGGCACCGAGGGCGAATTGCCGGAATTGCCTAGACTTCCCGACTTCTTACTCTTCTTTCCTTGGGGACGAGATACCGGCAAAAATCAAGAAAAATGGGTGAAATCTAGCTTTAAACCAAAAAATGCAAAAATAAAAGAAAACTAACAAAATAAATGAAGAAAAATAAATAATGGGTTGCCTCCCATCCAGCGCCTGTTTTACTGTCGACGGCTCGACACAATTTGGACGGATTATGTCCAATCCAAAGCCTTGTAGATTGCGCATCCATCCGTCAATCTTGATACATACTTTGCAATCATATCATGGATTAGATTGCAATCTTGTAATGACCATCCCAACCCATGGTACTTTTCGTTTGCTGTGGAAATCAGTCGGTAGGAGACTAGGATGGGTTGCTTGCCTACCGATCTCTCAAACTCGTACACAAGATATTCGAGCTTTGGAGTAAGCTCTACCTCAAATCTGAAACTCGTCTCCTCGCTCACACTCAAATCCGGAGTAGCAATGTGGATAGGATTTCGTTCTTCAAGTTCCTCTACCATCATCTTCATCCCACTCTCATCACACACAAAAGTATCTACAGAACTGGGATGAATAATTCCCTCAAGGTGCTCAACCTCATCGTTCATACGAAAATCTGTAAATACCTTGTTGTCTTCATAAAGGATGGTCGGATGTGGTTTATGAATGTGACATCTCTGAAAATTTTCGAAAATATTTGCCAAAAAGTGGAGTTCTTCTTGTAGATAGCAGAAGTGCTCATTTGTTTGTGCAATTCCATTTTCTGGGTTCAACCTTCGATGTCTTTCAATATCCTCCAACTCATGTTGAATGTAATCAGCTCTGGATTGAATCTTGCAAAGAGAGAGATCATAAATCGAGGCCATCGATGTATACAAATCTGCTATAAAAAAAATCAAAAGAAAAAAAAATGTCTAAAGTAAAGTAAGGATAGTTGGTAACGATATTAGTAAATTCAAGATTAACTAATTCCCCGGCAACGGCGCCAAAAACTTGATACGCGTAAAACCTACGTATGAAAAACCGCAAGTGTACAGTATCGCGTTTTGTAGAATAGTGAATTCCAGATATCGATCCACAGGGAATTAAGTTCCTAAATCTACCAAGTACCGTAATTATACTATCCTAAACTTTATCTAGACGGGAGAAAAAGATGGGAGATGACATGAAGCCAAAAGGAAACAAAAATAATAAAAACAACGGTCCGCCAGTATACGCGAGGAATTCCGACGTGTGATGGCTTCTAGGGTAAAATCCACC